ACAGTGGTAGATTTCGAGCAGTTTCCAGTTGAGAAACCAGAAACTTCTCAACCGACTTCTGGTGGTTCCACTACGGATGATTTGCAGGATTATAGTCTCGCCAGAGACAGGGTGAGACGGACGAATATAAAGCCTCCGAACAGATTGGGTTTTGAAGACTTGGTATCTTTTGCACTTACTGTTAGCAGTGATGATCCAGTTACTTTTCATGATGCCGTTACTAGTCAGGAAAACGACAAGTGGATGGCAGCCATGGTTGAGGAGATGGAGTCTTTGAATCACAATCGCACATGGGAGTTAGTTCCCCTTCCTGAGGGTAAGAAGCCGATTGGTTGCAAATGGGTGTATAAGAAGAAACCAGCAGTAACAGAAAAAGAGGGGGAGAAGTTCAAGGCTCGTTTGGTAGCGAAGGGTTTTTCACAGCAGAAAGGAGTTGATTATGATGAAATCTTTTCTCCTGTGGTCAGGCACACTTCAATCCGAGCAGTACTTGCATTGGTGGCTAGTTGGGATTTGCATTTAGAGCAGATGGATGTTAAAACTGCTTTTTGCATGGTGATTTAGAGGAGCAGATCTACATGCGGCAACCTGAAGGTTTCACTCAACCTGGAAACGAGCATTTAGTTTGCAGATTGAAGAAATCTTTGTACGGGTTAAACAGTCTCCGAGACAATGGTATAAACGGTTTGACTCCTATATGATCAAGATTGGCTACAACCGATGTGAGTATGATTGTTGTGTCTATGTTAAGAGCCTTGATGATGGTTCTTTTATTTTTCTATTACTGTATGTTGATGATATGTTGATTGCTGCGAAGAACATGGATGATGTTATCGGTTTGAAAACTTTATTGAGTCAGGAATTTGATATGAAAGATTTAGGTGCTGCAAAGAAAATTCTTGGAATGGAAATTGCAGGGACAGAGACTCAAGGAAACTGCGGCTATCTCAACGGGGTTATGTTGAGAAAATGCTAGAAAGGTTTGCGATGAGCAGCGCGAAACCAGTTAGCACTCCATTGGCGAATCACTTTAAGCTCTCATCAGAACAGTGCCCTAAGACAGATAAGGAAGCTGAAAATATGGCAAAGGTTCCGTATTCTAATGTTGGCTGCTTGATGTATGCGATGGTATGTACTCGTCCTGATTTAGCTCATGCTGTTAGTCAAGTTTGTAAGTACATGTCTAAACCTGGTAAGCAACATTGGGATGCAGTCAAGTGGATCTTTCGGTACTTAAAGGGTACTGTGGGACATGGAATTGTTTTTGGGAGTCAGCGGGATAATCCTTTGGTTGTAGGATATGTGGATTCAGATTATGCAGGTGACTTGGATAATAGAAGATCTACGACAGGGTATGTGTTTACTCTTGGTGGAGGGCCTATTTGCTGGAAGTCTACTGTTCAATCTGTCGTGGCACTATCTACAACTGAAGCTGAATACATGGCAGCGGCTGAAGCTGCAAAAGAAGCTTTATGGCTTACTGGTTTAGTGAAGGAGTTGGGTGTTCAACAAGGTGGAGTTCAGTTGCTTTGTGATAATCAAAGTGCTATTCACTTGGCTAAGAATCAGGTGTATCGTGCTAGAACTAAACATATTGATGTAAGGTTCCACAAGATCAGAGAGTTGGTTGCATCTGGAGAGGTTTTGTTTCAGAAGGTACATACTGATGAGAATGCCGCTGATATGTTCACCAAGCCAGTTACGACAGACAAGTTCAAGCATTGTTTGGACTTGTTGAATGTTTCGAGTTGTTAAAGAAGCAAGGTAACCCAACCCACATTGAAGTTTCCAAGGGGCAGGATATTCGCCAAGGTGGAGATTTGTTATGTATGGCTCATAAAAAGTCTCGTTGTGGGGTTACGAATTATGTGGGTTGGGGGTGTGGGGGCGCAGCCCCCGCGGTACGGTACAGGGTTGATTTTGTAATTATGTACCAGGGTTTTCTATTATAAATAGAGATGTAACCTAGACCTAAAATATCATTGAATAAAACTTCTAGCGCCGCCTAGGCACCGAGGACGTAAGCACATTGCCGAACCTCGTAAAATTCTCGTGTTCTTTCGTTTTCTTTACCCGTTTTCGTCAACATTATTAATCAAGGTGTTTGTAAGTGATGGTATATGTTTTAAAGATTTTCAGTCATTTGACAATAAACGCTTAAATACATTATCAATCTATGATGTTTGAATCTGAAATTTCTAGAAATAACAATTTTTTTAACCAATTGATAATACATACCCTTTAAATAAACTGTTTGAATATAGAAAAGTAAAAAAAGGAACACAATAGAAGGTAAGGTAAGGTAAGGTAAGGTATTAGTAGTGGGTTGGGTTCGGTGTATAATCATAGGCGTAGGGGGTTCTGCATGTCGGTGAAAGGATTGTCTTTCACGTTAGCCATGGCAATGGGCTCTATATTCTTCAGTCAATCTGACATCTAAAATATTATTATTTGCTCCCCAAACTATTTGAGCATCATCTCTTTTGGTTTAGGCAGCCCACCAAACCTTATAGCTTTCTGACTGGGACTTCCATCTTTTTTATGTTCAATCATTGGGTCTTTGTATTTTTTTTTGACAAAAATAGTAACAATCAATCGTTTGATCTTGTCCAAGAAATTATTTGTACCATAATAAAATTAACTTAGGAGCATGGTCCTTAGTACATAAACCAAATATATATAACAAAACAAGGATTTTGCAATTTTCAGACATTCAAAAGTACTAACGGTTTTAATTTTGTATGGAACAAGGAGCGTGGTGCCCTAAGCAAGGCATAAATTAAGGTGGAACAGAGAGGAACATTCATTCTTTGCCAATTTTAAATAATTATATATTTTAAATATTTTTTATCTTTTTTATATTTTATATTTATAATTTATTTTTATCTTCTAAAATTTTATGCATGTATCTTTACAATTTTTAAAAATTCGTCACTGTCATAAAATTTTGCTTCCGTTGTCTCAGATTTTGCGTTGGTTGCAGCAACAACTAACCCCCTTTACCTTGGAGTTGATGAACAACAGCTATCACATGGTCTACTTTTGACAAAATTTTAAAGGCGGCCACGGCCATGGCCACCACTAAAATCGGTCCCCAACTGTTGCTGTCGCGTTGCCCCAGAACCTGATCCCGATGAAACAGGCTTCTTCGAGGCACCAATCACTCTATTTGGACCAGACAAGAGTCTCATTGCCACCCCCAAAACCACATTATCAGTACAACATTTGTTCGATTCAAGTTATAATAAATTCGATAATTTAAATAAATATTGTCTACTTTAGAAGTTATATCAGTGTCCAATTCATTATCAATAAGTTAGCTTTATGGTATTTTTTTTTGAATAAGTAAAATTATATTAATCTAAAAAAGAGAGTAGACAAGTTGCTACAATTAATAATACAAAACAGCTAGATCAACCCCATTCGATTCACAATTACTCATTTATATCATCTAATCGTTCATGCAACATCTATACAACTTAATCCTAAAAGCCTCCTTAATTCTATTGACAATCGTATCAGTCGATCGAGGCAACCCTTTAAATTGCCTATGATTACGCTCTTCCCAAATGAAATACACAAAACCAGTCCAAATCAATTTAAGAATATGCACCAAAAGAGACTTACCATTTAGATTTGTTATCACCCAACGAAGCGAATCCTCCTAGCAAAACAACTCATATCTCAAACCACACGAGTGCAAAATAGCACCCCAAACCTTCCTCGTATAGGAATATTCCGAAAAGAGATGGTTCTGAAATTCCACTCCAATGCCACACAAGCCACAGACATCATCAGTAATAATATCAAACCGAACAAGCCTATCCTTGATAGGCAATCTATCGAGAATAAACATCCATGAATATAAGAAAAACTTAGGAATATGAGCCGGAACCAAATAAGGCAGTGCCGACTAACCTTTTCCTTTCCATCGCGAATATTCTTTCAAATCCAACTTCCTTTAATCTCAACACAATTAGCACTAGGATAGAACAAACGTCGAACCTCATCACGCAGCTTTAACAACTTTGTAAGAATCTAACTAAAATGAGCCTTACACTTTAACAACTTCCTGGTATTATTTACTGGTTAATTAGAGAAGAAAAACCAATGGCAGCCAAAATTGATACGAGGACGAAGTTAGGTTATTTTGTTAGGCTTGACCAGAAGTTTTCATGCGAAATCAACCGTATATTGCTTGATGGAATTATATAGAAACCATCACATCTGAAACAAAAACATATGAACCTTTCCGCTAAATGTCCCATCCAAGCCAAAGGCTATGGAACTTTTCTTATACCCCAGAGGCAGGATTTGTGAAATTTTACTTATTGTGTAGGTAAAAGGGAAGTCAATTTGACATATACTATTGAGAGAAGTTAGGTTTTTCCCCTAATATTGTGGACAAGATACAGTCTTCAATGTTATGCTATAGTTAAAATTTTCCTGTAGTACTTGCAAATGAGCTTGATATTGTAGCAGTAATGTACTTCTGAAACTTCTGAACCTAGAGGCTTCAAGCAAAGGGTAAGTCCCCAACTAGGCTAAAACCAGAGTTCCCCAGCTTTTTAATGTTTATAAAATGATGCAAATGTATAAATGATTCATCATACCAGTAGCTTAAAAGAAACTGCCAGAACAAAAAGATTAGTTCTGGAACAATCGGGCATTCAGCTAAGTTAATGCATGCTCTTTGTGCATTGACATACATGATACATACAATAAAAAGCTGCTGGTTTTTTGGATTTTGCAGCTTGTTCTTGCTATGATATTTGTACACGATTCTAGATGCCAATATACTAGCCTAAATACTCAACGTAATGAGCTTAGCAATTAACATTCCACAAAAATACACCCTTTTGGTCACTATTCTCTCTTTTATCTTGTCCATTCAAACCTTACCAATATCATTATGGTGTGGTTGGTATTTGACCCAAAAATCTTAGTTAAAAATCTAAGAGCCTAAAACACCTTTTCCCCCTACTTTATTCTTCTTCTTCAATTTCCTTCATGTCTGTCATCTATAGAGCGATCTGAGTCTGCAAACTAGTGGCATTGAACCCCACCTGTTGCGGCACTTGCTGCTGCTCAACCTCCCAACTTGCCTTGGCTATGGTTCCATCATGCACAGGCACGTACTCCTAATCAAAACAAAACCAGAGCTACCATTTACAGGCAAACAAGTGAAAAAAGGACCCAAGAAAGTAATCTGAGAGATTCCTTTTTATCTAAACAACCAGACAGTATTCCATATATGAGCCTCATTTTGTTAGCAAACAAACGTTTGATGACAAAAGTATAACAATTGAAGAGAATACCAGTTGTAGGCAATAAATAACCCACCTCGAGCTTCTGGACCAGTTCTTTTGCATTTGGTGCAGAGACAATGATGTGGCGTTGGCATGGCCTGATAAAGCCATCATCCACGGCTTTGTCGATGAAAGTCAGTAGGTAATTATAATATCCATCGACATTAAGCAACCCCACCTGCGTATTTTTGGAAACAAAAGTTGGGGTTTCAAAAGAAAGGAAACCAGAAATCATCAATGGAAACAAAAGATTGTAAGCAAAAAATTTGCATACAGGCTTGTCATGGATACCCAGCTGTGCCCATGTTATCACTTCCAGTAACTCCTCCAAGGTTCCATATCCACCTGAAACAACAACAAAGAGAAGCAAAAGTGAGCACTCCATGCGGGATGATGTAGGTGTTGGAATGGATATTATATATTTAAAGAGAGAGATGCATGGGACCTGGTAGGGCAATAAAACAATCAGAGTGGCGGGCCATTTCTGCCTTTCTTTGGTGCATGTTGGCTACTGGTCTCACTTCCCCAACCGTTTCACCAGTTATCTGTGGCTCCAAATGCAACATTCTCAACACATAATTCAAAAGCTAGAGCGGCTAGAAAAATGTGAAATATGAAAAGGAAAAAAGAATTTGATTTGCACCTCTTTGCTCATTAGAGTTACAGGAATGATCCTGTTAAACAGCCAATATAAGTCAATAAATGGAACACACACAAAAACCAGAAAAATGAGTACATAGATTGATGAGTGTACCCAAGAACATTCCCTCCGGCATGATGAACAGCTTGTGAAACCAAACCCATCAACCCAATACTCCCTCCACCATAAACAAGGTCTAATCTTCTTGCCACCTTTCAAAAACAACAAAAATGTAAAAGAAAACCCTTAAACTAACACAAAAAAGAAAGGTTAATGTTCGAGAGTGTTTTGCAGTAGATGTTTGAACGTACGTACCAATTCTTGGGCTAATTCAACAGCGGCATCTCTGTAACATTTCCTCTTGCCAGTACTGCTTCCACAGAAAACACACACCCTCTTGAATCTTGATCTCACAACTTTCCCTTCCGTTTCCATTCCCAGAGATTCTGGTGATCAAGTTCCCTTGTTTGCACTGAGGGAAAGAGAGAGATGTGTGGGGGCAAGCACGCTCCTTTGCTTCTACCTCTGGGCAATATGAAACGAAACAGGCCCCCATTTATATTTATAGACTCTCGTAAAAATTGCTTTTTTTCTATAAATATTTTATTTTCAACGAAGATTAAAAAAGGGCTGGTCACTTTTACTTAAGATGTCAACTTAAACTGTTACAAAAATGATGATGATAATAGATATTGATGAAGACAAAAGGGCTATTAACAGGATGCAGATAGGAAGCAGTGAATGTACATGTAATAACCACAGAAAATTTGTCCATTATCAACTCCACGTTTGTGAACTTGATGCCAGAAACGTGTAGTGAATTTCTTCTAATACTGTAACAAAATCCTTATCCAGTTGAATATTGAGTAAATTAGTTGTGAGCTTAAACTATATATCATTTGCCATTGATAATCGTAATTTGCCATCGACATGTTTGATGATTGGTTTCTGATGATGTTTTCAGATAAGTTCATCTTTATCATAAATTATTCACCAGAGAGAAAAAAGGTTTATTGTATCTGCAGCATCTATGGGTTTTCATTTTCATTCCCAAAGAAGAGCCAAATCGGTTCTGCGCTGCAACGCTGCAACCATCATTTAATTTTTTTTCTCTACACACGAAAGCAAAAAGCAAATGCCATTGCTCTATCTTGGAAGTAAACACCCTTCCAGAATAAAAAAAGGTTATATAAACAGTCCACAAATTCTTCTTACTCAAAAATGAAGTCCTCAAACATAAAAAGATTTCAAAACACCAACAGAGAGTAAAGCATAAACACTCTCACTTCATTAAATTGGGGTGGTAAAGGTTACATCATTCCTTAATTATCATAATGATTTACTACGTTGATCAATGTGAAAATTGAAATGGAAGGACATGCTCAGTCTCACTTAACATCTTTTGGGTATATACTATTTTATAAGAGTTCAAGTTAATGAAGTTTTCTACCACTTCGGTTTTAAATGACCATCAGTATGACAAATCAAAGGATTTGACTCCACAACACAGTATTGGTCACCCTTTCTCCCGACTCAGCTTCACCATTCACACTTAACAAAGGGACAAAGATAAACCCATGAAAAAAGAGTTAAAAATGTTCAAATGTTCCATTCCATCTGGTTTTGCACCAGACATGCATGTCTTTGGGAACATGGCAATTGGTAAAACTGAAAGAACCCCAGAAGATGATGGGGTAGATGCCTCAAATACTTGCAGGTAGAAGAAACTCACACGGCATTGCCTAAGGGTTGATGGTTGATACACAAGTGGGGGGGGGAATTCACCAATGGAGGTTGATGGAGAAATATGTGATGAATGAGGCTAAGAGTCTAGGAGGCTTCCTGCACCTGCATATGTAGGCCATTAGCAATTTGCTTTCTCATCTAGCACGTTCCTATTTAATGCTGTCCGACACTTTTTGCAACCTTAACTAAGGGTTGTTTTTAGCCACGTGTCATCGTGGGGATCAACTCCACTTGCTTCTATAAGTATATATTATTATATGTAGGGGCAACGAAAGCGTAAGTTGAAGTAGGAGAAATAAAAATAGGAGAGGATTGACCATTGTACAGTGAAAGCTATAAATGCAGAAACAGTTATGGAAGAAAAGAAAGGCATTGCAATGATTGTTCTGCGCCGTCTCTATTTTGCATATATCATATCTATAATTTACTCTTTTGGGTTGTTGATTTTAAATGCTCTGTTTCTGGGTTTTGTATTTATTCCCTCTGTCAATTCTCACTTGCTAAATAAACGCTATGCAAAGTGGTTTGAAAGCTTAAGGTGTGAGGCGAAATACTAAAATATAAGTCGTTAAAATAAAGTTAAATTATGATAAAAATCAGTTATGATAAAAAAAATATCAATAATTTAATTTTTTTTTAAATTAGACAGATTAATTTTTTTAGATTGAATAGAATAATATTTTATGTTAAATCTAAAAATTTTACATTTATATAATATTTTCAATTACAATTGAAATTATTATAAATTTATACAATTTTTAGATTATAAGTTTTAAACTCTCGTAATGTAACTATTTATTTGTAACCGAAACTTCTACAAATTTGTAAGTTATAATTCTCAAGTGATTTAAGTTGAACAAAATAATATTTTATATTGAAAATTACTGTAAATTAAGTTGTCGCGCAACAGAATTACTTAGTGTAAAAGACTTAAATCAATTGATTATTTTTATATTGTAATTTTATTATAATATTTGTTTCATTCTAATTCAAATAAAATTTATATACATTTTATAGATAATATCCTATTTATATTGTCATTTTTAAAAAAGTAAAAAATTATTTTTATTTTTAAATGTGTATATATTTTAAAAATAAATTCAAATTATATATTTTCAAACAATGTTTTTTTAAGTATACTCTAGAATATTTTTTGTTAATAATTAAATATTTAAAGTTTATGCATGGAGTTTTCTTTTAACAAAATAAATATTCTATTTTTTTATATTTTATCCCAAGAAACAAAATATGTTTTTATCTAATTTCTTTTTGTAATGTTTTGAGAAAGCTAAAATAAAAATATAATATTTAATTTTTTAAATATATTGTATAAATTATTTAATATTAAATTTAAAATCTTCATATTTCAAAATAATTTGATTTCAATACTTTAATTTTTATTACTAAAATAAAATTTTAATTATAATATATATTAACCATATAATTAAATAATTAATAAATTTAAAAATTTAAAAATAACGTCATATTCAAACATATAATTACTTTTTTATATTATAATTTTTTTCATTATATTTTTAATTTTCTTTAAGGGCATAAATAAACCAAATTTGAGCAAACAAAGTCGTATTCATGTTCGATTATTTATTTTTGAAAGTATTCATGATTTGTGATAGTTTAAATTTTTATTATCATGTTCGAATTTATTTATTTATTTTTAAAATTGTTTGTATTTGTTCATTTAGCGTTTTACGAGCATATTTATTTAATATTCGTAAACATGTTCGTTTAACGTTTAAGAACATATTCATTTAATATTAACAAATACGTTCGTTTAACATTAGTAACCAACACTCTTTTCTTACTTCTTTATTTACAAGCCACATAAAAATGATGAAAGTATGACACTAGTCTTTAAATTTTTTAGACTTAACAGTTTGAACTTTAAATTTTATCTTATGTTCAATTTAGACTTTATCTTTACTAATATTTTAAATATAAAAAGCTAAAAGGAAAAGGAGAAGCATAAACGAGCCTGTAAATGAGTCGATAAACAAACTTAAAATGAGCATATTCATGAATATAAATAGATTGAACATGCGTATGTTTGTGCTCGTTCGTTTATTAAATGAACATAAAAATTTTATTTATACTCATTTATTTAACTTAATAAACGAATTTTATATAAATGATTCACAAACAGTTGACCAACCCTATGTTAATTTATACATAATAATTTTCTTTAAAGAAAATATATTTTTTGATTTCTAAAAGCATTTGACTCTGACTGTATCGTTGATTAGTCATTCTTGACAGTGTCCCATTATTTATTCTCTCTATTAATTGTCAGCTTAGTTTGAAAGCTTATGGACTTAAACTGCAATATACCCTCCCAATGTTAAAGTTTTAAACAGCATTTACATTAATTATTAAATACATAATAGATAATGATTCAATTTAAAAGTTCTATACAAATTATTCTCCATTTCTCTTACAGGTGCTGTTGCTCTTAGTTGTTTGGAATATCATAGTGAAATACACATTATTTAAGACCTCCCGTTTGGGCTTCCCAATAAGTTAGAATGGGCCTCATTTCTAAATTTTGACCCAATATAAGATTTTGCACTCAAAAACAACTTTTAGGCCCATACATGTTTTTTTGACGTCACATGAAAAATGTATTAAATTAACAATTTTTAATTATGATTTTAGAGAACTTATTCAGTGGTCTTAGTAGTCAAAGTGAGTGTTGTGTTTTTTAAAATTTTAGATTCAAGCATTTACGTCTACAAAGTATGTATCGTCACGATTTAAAAATAATCAAAGAAATATTATTTTATAATTACTACATACTACTAAGAAATACGATTTTAAACTCTTTATTAGGTTTAAAGTTGATATTTGATCTCATAATTTAATTTCACATAATTTGATTTATCTATTTTTATAATATTATCAGTAAATTCAAATAAAGAACATCATTTAGTGGTTGTTAAAGTAACGAGCCTATTATTTGTAATTATACTCGGTCATGTAAATATGACTATACAAAATTTCAATCACTCATGATCAATTAATAATAAATTTATATATTATTGAAGATTGTTTTTCTAACAAGAAGAAGAATAAATTATATTAAAATAAAATAAAGAATCAAACTAAAATTTCAGCATAAAAAGAGGGATTAAAACATAATTAATCCAAATATTAATTAATATGAAAGCTATAATAATAATTATAACCAAAGTACAAAGTAATAATTATACCTAATTTAGTAATGATTATAAGGTGAATACAACATACAAAGTAAGCTATAATATGCTTTTTAAATATTTTAAATTTGAATAATCATATCTATAAATATGTACGTTATCAATCAATTGAAAAAATTAAACAAATATTGCCTCATAATCTATTCATCTTCTTGAATCTTCTAAACCATTCAAATTCACTTGTACGTTGAAAAGAACAAAATCAAAATATGTATAATCGGCAATTAAGGTGTCATCTTCATTGGGTTTCATCACAAGTAGAGCAACCTTCTTTTGCAATGTCAGTGATTTGAAGTCCAGAATCATAAACAACCCCAGTTTTCCAGTCAGCGGGGAGCACAGATTTTGCCCAAATCCACTTGCCATCGAACCCAGCCGTCACTACGAATCTGAATTGCAGTGCACCATTCGGGACTCTGCTTGTTTCCCACACTGCCCCATGCTTCCTGCTCATGAAATTCCAGTTCGAAGACCCCACCTGAGCCACGT